GTTGGTGGCTGAAAAAACCCAAGAAAAAAGGACATTGTGAGGCAGACATGTATAAGAACATGAAACCTCCTATCATGAAAACGACACTTACAAACTTCATTCATCTCTTTCTGACATAACCCACATGACGTATGCTGTTCATCATTTTTTTATACAGTGAGGGAGCCAGGATGCTGCTGTGACGCACGGCATTCGTGATGCCTTTTGAAGGGAGAGGACCATGATGACCAGTTATATATTACTTAATGGCAATACTTAATTGTGTCATGACACAGTGGAAACAGGCGTCAATTTATGGGCATATGGAGTTACTGGTATCATCTTAACACTTTTACTACCACGAGCCGTATTTTCATATATATAATATCATACCTGTATTACCTGTATACTGGTATGATATATGACATACAGGTATGATATATCAAAATGCGGCTCATGGTAGTAAAAGTGTTAAGATGATACCAGTAACTCCATATTTTCGTAAATCAAGTAAACTGTATAAGACTTGATTATTTATCAAGTAAACGGTAAGGCAGGGGTAGGCCCTGAACAACATACTTAGGGAACCTAAACAAATGGGTAACAGGGAAAGATCAGGGAAAGGTAGCTTTTTTGAGAGCATCCGAGCAAAGGAATGAATGGAAAACCATGATCGCCGATGTCTGTCGCAGATCTGGCACTGGATGATGATGATGAAACGGTAAGGCTATATTACATATCAAGTAAACTGTAAAACTATATTATGTGAGGCATCATGGTGAAATCAGGAGCTCGTCAAAAGAGTGAAATTCGAGAAGTCAGCATTTTTCGGCCAGTTTGGACATTAAAATTTTTTTGGGTGATTTTGGCTCAACACTTTGTACATCCATTCAAAAACACTTTTCCATGTGGATTTTTGTGGAAAAACGTTGATTAAAGACACAAAAAATGTAAATTTGTAGTTCCTAAGGACTCTTAAGCTATTGAAGTCTTCAAACTTGGCGGCCATTTTCTTGCTAATTTTACTTCTGCAACCAGGGGACCCCCGCCTTCTAGAATAGGAAATATCTCGACTTCTATTTAAGATAGATCGGAATTTTTTTCAAGGACTGCAAGACAAATGAACTTTAAGACTATGTGTCACGACGTGGTGGAATCAAGCGCTCCTCAATTTTGGGGCATATGGAGATATTGGTATCATCTTAACTCTATAAGCCCTGAGTTTTTTCCACCGTTTCCCCGCAGTTTTTTTTTTTTACAGTTACCTAAACCTAGTGCACTTTGTCTCATTATAACCCCAAAAAGCTTGCCTCCAACTTCTAAATGGCAGAAACAAAGGATTAGTCATTACCAACAAGCAAAAGCTAGCACTAAATAAAACAAAACAGTTGTCACTAGTATTGGACCCTCTCAAGGTCCGATTGGGAACAGGGTTATTACCGCCGGACGCTCCCAGCATCCGATGAGGATCAAAGAGTTAAAGCTTGCTTCATTCGTCTTGCTTTCAATGGAAAAAAATTAACCATCTATCTGTGATAGAAGTCTAAATATTTGCAAATTGAAGGAATTCGGGGTAACCTGGTTTCGGAAGTAAAATAGATAGAAAATGGCCGCCAAAGTTTGATGAATTCCATAGCCGAAGAGATCTAGAAAACTGAAAATTTACATTTTTTCGCCTTTAATCAACGTTTTTCAGTAAAATTTACACAGATATGTTTTTAAATGGAAATGAAAGATGTTTAGCCAAAAAACAAAAATTTGATAAAAATTGCCAAACACACGGAAAATCGCCTGTTTCTTCAAGTTCACTATTTTGAGGAGCGCCTGATTTCATCACGCTGCCTCACATATCATTATCAAGTAAACTGTAAGACGTGTAAACAATAAGACTAACCGCAGGCCGGTACTTGGGCTTGTAGTCAATGAGACGAGCCTTGCATCCATCTAATCCTTTCAAGCTGACCATGAAGACAATGCGAATGCCTTTCTGGGAGCCGGACAGCTTGTGCTTCACTTTTGCAACCTGCCACAGGAAAGACAGTCAGCCCACAAAATTAGTCTAGTCTTAAGAAGAGTTTTAATGCAGCTTGCAAAACAAATAGGCCATATTATAAGTGCTGGAGGTGAGTTTTAGTAGAGGTTTTACGGCACTCGCAACTGCATAAGGTCATATGAGTGCCAGAAGATAAGAGGTGTTTAAAGAAAGTAACAAACATAAAAAAGAAGAAGGGGAGATAAGGACGATAGATGCTTGATAGGAAAGAAGAAGCAAACCACACCAGAGCACCCGCCAACTACCCACGCTGGAGGTGAGAGGTGTTACCAGAGAGTATAATACAAAGAAAAGAAGGAGGAAGGATAGGGACGATAGATGTTTGATGGGAAAGAAGGAGCAAACCACATCAGGGATAGAGGTGTTTGGTTCTTTAGAGTTTTACGGCACTTGCAACACAAAAAGGTCATATAAGTGTCGAAGATTAGAGATGTTACAAGAGAGTAACAAACCCCAAAAAGAAGGGGAGATAAGGATGGTAGATGTTTGATAGGAAAGAAGGAGCAAACCACACCAGAGCATCCGCCAACTGCCTGCTATTAATAGGGAGCATTGAACAAAAAAAAACAAGGAGGAGAGATGGGGACAATAGATGTTTGATAGGAAAGAAGGAGCAAAAACTAAAAGGAAAGGCAACTGTTGCACAAAACGTACTAGCTTGCTGCCGATGAAGAAGTCGACCTCCACTTTGTCGTCTGTCTGAATACTGTCTTCTTCCCCCATGCTGTTCACCACCGCCGTCACTTTGGTCCCCGGGCGCCACAGAATCAGCTCACCAGACGATGGCTTCTCACCTGTGCCGGACTCAGTGTACACTCTGGTGAGGAGGTTTCCAATTTTTGGGTGAATACCAACGTCGTACTAGACACAGTTACTTCGAGTCAAAGAGAAAAAGAGCATTCAGCAGGGTAAGATACTTTACTTTACTTTACTTTTCCGATCCATTGGCCATTTGAGTTCTAGCCCTTCGGCCTATACGGTAAGATAAGGAACAAATTTAAATGTTGGATAAATACATCAAAGAGAAAATATACGTGGTGGCATAGGAAAGTAAAGGTCTTGGAGAAAAAAACTCTCTGAGACAAGGGGATTTTGTAAACTTGTAGTGTTTGAAGCTTATCTGGCAGGAATTTTCAAAATATCTATTTAGTTTTTGTAAGAGTTTTTACGGCACTTGCAACACAATAAGGTCATATAAGTGCAGAAGATTAGAGCACCTGCCAGCCACCACACCAGAGCACCCGCCAACAACCCGCTAAAATATCTATTCCCAAAAAAATAAATTCAGTGGTGTTTTCTTAAAGACAACACGAAACACAGGACAGAGAAAAACAGTGCAGAAGTTTCTACACCTTCTCATTACACATTACAAAAATAATAATAAAACAAATTTTGATAGGGCAGATGGATCATTTATTTTCTGACCTCATAGTCTTAGTAACTCAAAACGGGCAAAAATGTCAGACAGAAGGTTGTAATTCTGAGGTAGCAACTTACTTTCCATAGGGAGCACGAGGCAGGGGTAGGCCACAGGAAACACGGAGCAGATGTGTGAAAAGGGACATGGGAGAGATGAAGCTCACTTGGAACGAGCTTGGAAATATGGCCCAGGACAGAGACATATGGAAGGAGCTCATATGTGGCCTATACCCTGCCAGGAGTGAAAGGCATTGATGATAATGAACTTACTTTCCGTTATCACTGTGGAGGGCAATGGACATTTTGTCCCAGCCAGGCTGTCGGTTGTACGGGTACGTCTCCGGGCCAAGGCCAAGCGTGATGATTGCATTCCCCTTCATCTCCAGGCATTCGATAGAGATGGAGTTATGTTCCCTGGTTATCTCCTGCTGGCATAACATGATTCCGATCTGCTCTTTTAAGCGGTAGTTGTCCTGGTACCTGGAGATAGCTTAGACATTATAATATGCTGTGGTTTCGTACTTCAAATATTGTGAAATAAATGAAATTAAAACAACGATCAATGCTTTAACCATACTCAGGCTTCATCAGGAACATAGCTGATGAAAATCAAAAATACCATAGCAACAAAACATTCGCTACAAGATGTTTCTTAATGGTGCTTAAGAGAAATAAATAATATTATACCTGAACGAACTGCAGCTCACAAAAGAAAAGCTGAAAAAAAATGTTTCATTTTGACCTTGTCCTGCGTTACTACACACACAAAATGTTTCATTAAGACTGTGTCCTGTTTTGCTACACACACACAGACTACACACACACATACTGAATACATCATTATGATCATGGCCTGTACTGCTACACACAAGATATTTCTTGACGACTTTGGCCTGTGTTGCTACACACAAGCTACACAAACAAGATATTTTCTAAAGACTGTGTCCTGTTTTGCTACACACACACAGACTACACACACACACATACAGAATATTTCATTATGATCATAGCCTATACTGCTACACACACAGAATATTACAATTTCATGATGACCTTGACTTGTTTGCTGCTCACACAAACTACACACACAAAATATTTCATTGTGACCTTGGCCTGTATTGCTAAACACACAGTATATTATTACTTCATGACGACCTTGTCCTGAGTGCTAAACACATAAAATGTTTCATTCTCACCTTGGCCTGTATCGCAACTCATTGCTGTACCGTAGAAATAAATTATATTAAGAATACTTGATAATATTCTAGACGAAGACGTATTCAAAACAAAGTTCAACGTGTCAACTAATTTCAGGCTTCATCAGGAACATAGCTAATGAAAAACAAACAATACCACAGAAACACAACATCCACTATAAGACGTTTTGTAATGGAGCACTGTATAAATGCAATCTATTATCATTTTTATTATTGACTCACGTGAGGACTCCTAATACAATAGCAACAAAATGTTCACTATAAGATGCTTCGTAATGGTGTGCTGAATAAATGCAATCTCTTATTATTTTTATAATTGACTCACGTGAGAACTAATACAATAGCAACAAAATGTTCACTATAAGATGCTTCGTAATGGTGTGCTGAATAAATGCAATCTCTTATTATTTTTATAATTGACTCACGTGAGAACTAATACAATAGCAACAAAATGTTCACTATAAGATGCTTCGTAATGGTGTGCTGAATAAATGCAATATCTTATTATTTTTATAATTGACTCACGTGAGAACTAATACAATAGCAACAAAATGTTCACTATAAGATGCTTCGTAATGGTGTGCTGAATAAATGCAATCTCTTATTATTTTTATAATTGACTCACGTGAGAACTAATACAATAGCAACAAAATGTTCACTATAAGATACTATTATCATTTCTACTATTGACTCAATTTAGAACTCTCAATACCATAGCAACAAAACGTTCACTATAAGATACTTTGTAATAGTGCGCTGTATAAATGCAATCTCTTATTATTTTTACTATAGACTCACGTGAGAACTCCCTGATCGTCACACAGAAGGTTGTGAAGGGTGCCCGGACTCCACACCTGTTTATTCTTCTCCCACTGCACCAGCTGGCTCTGAAAGACACACGGAAATACAAGAAAAACTTTTAGCTTTAGTAAACTTTGCTTTGTTTTAAAAGTAAAGGTTTTACGGCACTCGCAACTGTATAAGGTCAGATGAGCGTCAGAAGATTAGAAGTAGAAGTGTTACAAGAGAGTAACAAACATAAAAAAGAAGAAGGGGAGATAAGGACGATAAATGTTTGACAGGAAAGAAGGAGCAAACCACACCAGAGCATCCGCCAACCACCCACTTTAGTAAACTACTGTGAAGCGAAGAAAAATGAATTGGTATAGGCATGTAACAAGATCGTGGTGCCTATCCAAGACCATTCTTAAGGGAACTGGGTTTTTTTTCAGTTTTAATAAGGTTTTACTGTGCTCGCAACTTCATAAGATCATGAGCACCAAGGGGTGGATGTCAACAGAGAAGTCCAAACGGGGAATCAGGCTTACTCTGCTGACCTCTCTAGACTCAACAGCACGAAGTCTGCTTCGACTATCAAGGCACCCCGAAAATAGCAGTTCACAAGAGAGTGACAAACATACAAAAGAAGTAGAGGAAAAAATAACGATAGTAAGGATAAAGAAGGACAAAACAGAAGTTCCCCCTATGTTTTTCAGGCACAGTATGAGCATGACATTGATAAATCAGCCCATTTGCAATTCTACTGTGCATAAGAACATGTTTATATTCTCCCTTTGGGAATGGCCTAAAGACACTTCAGTCAGTGGCACTGCCCTGGTGGGGGGATAAACTACCTGTGAAGCGAACAAAAATGAATTGGTATGGTCATGTAACAAGATCGTGAGGCCTATCCCAGACCACTCTTCAGGGATCTAACTGTGCAGGGCAGGAGAAAGAGAGGAAAGCAAAGAATGAGGGGGACCGACAATATTGCGGAGCGGACAGGGAAATCCTTCGCCCAAACTCAGGCGCCCCCCCCTCCCAAAAAAAGGTGAAAAGTGGAGGCACCTAACAAGCTTCTCTATCATACAGCGCCCCTATGATCCTCATGGATTATGGGATCAGTAAGCAGTAAGCAGTAAACAGTTTTACAGCACTTGCAACACAAATAGGGCACTTAAGAGCAGAGGATATGAGGTGCTACTACTACTACTACTAGAGAGTAACATACAAAGAAAAGAAGGAGGGGGGGGGGAGGGATACGTATGATTGATCTTTGAAAGGAAAGTAGAAACAAACTACACCAGAGCACCCTCCAACCACCCACTAACAACTTTTGGCGTCACGAAGAGGTGAAACGGGTGAAGGACTGAGGTAAGCGTTTAACAGTCTGTCACATTGTATATCCCTTGCAGGCTGAGATGGTAAATTCAGAGTGAATCTTCTTGTTTTTGTTGTTATCGATCTAGCAATAGATGGACTCTCACCCTTTTGTCCAAAGCCATGTGGTGATAAGTGCAGGTTTGCTGAAATTGCTGAGACGTTCCATAGAGTGTGTTATCATTTGTCAATATTAGGTTGCAGAGGGAGAAGCGTAGCTGTGATGTTATTTAGGGCCTTTAGAGTGAATCGGTTCAGAGTTACTGAGAAATTGCCAGAGCATTCCTTCGGAGATAATAAAACACGGCCGTAAATAAGAACTGTAACTCATCGCGATTGTGAACATGAGCACTTGAGAACCGATTTTGCGTATCGAACAATAGGATATGATTTTAACTAAATTAAACTCACACATACACACACACGCCAACATACACACACACATACCCACACAAACCCACGCACATACACGAACCCACACCCACACACACACTCCAACTCACACACACATCTATACACACACAAACCAACCCACAAACACACACACATGAACCCACACTAATACACAAACAACACATACACACACATGCCCACACGAACCCACACACACACACGAACCCACACACACATACAAACCTCCGGTGCTTGGGCTGCATTCAGCAGCTTGAGAGAGGCATAGTTCTTCCCCAACACAGCTACTATAGGGTACATGCCGCTCTGAGGTTTCTCCTTGGTTGTCTTCCCTTCAATCTGAGGTGGAGAAAACATGTTTCATATTCACTGAATTTTTCCATGCACTGATAGAATATCTATAAACATTGAACTGAAAGAGAGGATGCACAACGAGCAGTACTACTAATAATTATAATTTTAGAAGTCTTATGCCCACACGGACATAAGGGCTATTCCACGGTAAATGACAGGAAAGATACATACCTCATTTGTGCAATCAGTTAGCGAAACTTAACCCGTCATAGACTTTGCATGAAAAACTTTTTTTTTTGAATGACTGCGTTTACTATGATTTTTAATATGTCTTTCCAATGCTCTGATCCTTTAAAGTTGAAATAGATTAACTGATATTGACGATTGACAGTGTTATCATTGTAAGAAGGTATAGTCCAAATGTCCTGTCTGTTTCCGAGGAAGAGCCCACAATTCTAGATCATTTAAGAGGTGTGCTTCTTTGACCCTGTCTGTCAGGGCCAAGATGGTCTAGGATGAAAACAATATCCCAGGAGATAGATGAAGATGTTTGATTAAAAAAAACCCATGCCACTCAGGAATTGAGCTAAGGTCTTCTGTGTGTCATAGTGAAATGCCTAACAGCTACATTACATACCTTGGTAAGCAGTACTAAAAGCAAGTTTACATGTGATAAGAAGGACACTGTGTCTAATTCAGAATAAATGCAATACAGACACAATTCAGTTTAACACTTTGCCATCACAAGGCTCATATAGTAAAAACTCTTGCCATCAAAGGCAAAGGCACTCTGGGGAAAATCCAAAGAAACTGGTTGGTAAACATCGCTGATTGGCGAGATGAGGCGGCACAGTGTTAAAGCTTGACAGCTGCTTTCCCACTCAAAATTCTTCCCAAAAATTAAGCAATAAAAAGCGTTTACAAAAACCACATAAAACTCTTTATAGATATTTGTTTTTTGCACAACAGAGTATGCACCATCTAACAGTAGGAGTTTCAGTGATTTCTCCACCATCCTCCATTTCCTTTGCTAATGTTACGATTGACATAAAGAACTTAGATATTTTACTATCATTGACGAAAAAGAAGGCAAAAGAGACAGAGATAGACCAAGAATAAATAAATAATAGAACTTGATAGGATGGGGGATGGGGAAAGACCAGAATAATAAAATAGTAATTTTCCAACATCAAGTCTGTGCTCCTCTACGGCTGCGAAACTTGGAAGACAACGAAGACAGTACTGAATAAGGTCCAGACTTTCATCAACAGATGTATGAGGAGTGTTTTAAGAATTAAGTGGCAGGATAGAATAAGAAATGAAGAGCTGTGGGAAAGGACAGGACAAAAGGATATAGAAGTAGAAATAGGACTAAGAAAGTGGTGATGGATGGGACACACCTTAAGAAAGCCCAGCGGAAACATCACAAGACAGTCACTGCAGTGGAACCCCCAGGGAGCACGAGGCAGGGGTAGGCCACGGGAAACATGGAGGAGATGTGTGGAAAGGGACATGAGAGAAATGAAGCTCACTTGAAACGAGCTTGGAAGGATGGCTCAGGACAGAGATAAATGGAGGAGCTTGTATGTGGCCTATACCCTGCCAGGGGTGAAAGGCATTGATGATGATGAATTTGCCAAGAGCATCTGGGCAGAAAAATGTGTGGTGAACTATGATATTCTGATGCCTGTTTCAGGTAAGGGACTTGATGATGATGATGATGATGATGATGATGACGATGATGATGATGATGATGATGATGATGATGATGACAAGTTTAATTTCAACTTCAGCCTCAACAAAAAAAAAAAGATATTTGGCAAGCCCACACATCTCCCATACATTATCATTTATCAGCACGATCCAACCAGACGGCAGCACCTTACCTTGCGACCATTCTTGGTGAAGTAGTAGGCAGAATCCTTCCCCGGGACATATTCTGAGTCCCACTGGCCCTCCACGCCAAAGCCGTAGGTCACACCATCGGCTATCTCAAAGCTGGAGACAAAGATGTGACATTTATCCTCAGAACATAGACAGCTTTTACACATTTATTTGAAAGTAAACAATTACCCAGCGTTTCATCTGGAAATAAACAAACTGTATACTTTGATTAAAGCTAAAAGACCATTTGCAAATTAATCTGATCAAAAACAGCAGTTGAACATTTATGGCATCCATTGTTTTATTATTTATTTGAATCATCTCTCTCTCTCTCACTCTCTCTCTCTCTCTCTGTCTTTCTCTCTCTGTCTTTCCCTCTCCCTCTCTCTGAAAGGAAAATATTATCTTGACAATATGATACAAAAACACCCGGCAAAAAGTCATACCCTTCCACCGCTCCTCCGTTACGCTCTTTGGAGTCCAAAGGAAATCGTTCCGAGTAGAGAACATCATGCATGATGCCGAGAATGAGACCCGTCTCAGCGGCTGCGTCCATACACTGGATCTCGTAGTAGTTGTTGGTGCGGCTCAAGGGTTGCTGAGAGACTGCGGCTCCGATAACATTCTGAGAGTTGGACGTATTCCTGTGCACATGCAAAATAATTTTAAAATGTCATTTTTGTTGCAATGTGAAACAGCTGATACATCGATATATTGGAGCTTTATCATTCCTTACTACTGGAGTGAGAAAACTGAAAATGCATGGAATTTAATGAAGTATCCTTCTATTAAAACTCCAACACCATACCACCAGACTTAGGCTTTTAATCTAACTATAGACTTGAATTATAATATCCAGGACCGGGCACTGCCATGGCTACAGTTCCTTGCTTTCTTTAAAATCTGAGCAGTGCTGATGCATACCATGGAAACATAAATGAAAGGCAAAACACCAGTCCCACTATAGTCCAGTGTGTGCACAATCTTTCCCTCTTTGTCCTTTCTTTTTTTTTTTTTTTTTGAAATAGAGTCATATGGTGTGATCCCTGGTCACTCTCTCTCTCTTCCTTCTGGCACTTTCGCATCGTAAGTGGTTGGTGATGCCGACAGCACGCAGGAACTCAACACTCGCTCAAGGGTTCTTGAACAGTGCTGATCATGGGTCGCTAAAATGTCCCAGCAAACATGTTTTGGTGGCATGATAGTTGGTGGCACATTTGAGGAATATGTGGTCCATAGTCCCGTCCTCTTCTTCGCAGTGATCTATGGTGAACCGGAATTACGTCAAAGCGCAGTCTTGGATATTGTGATTGATTGATTGATTGAGTAGGTGTTTTACGGCACTATCAACTCAATTTAGTTCATTGGATATTATGAATCTGACAAAGTAATCACCTGAGTACACCACCGACGGAGAGAGAACATTTGCTGTAATTTGAATTGTCCATGAAACCATCCACGTCTGAGCCCCTCATGACTCTCGAAGACTGGATGTGCTTGGGATTAGGTCGCTCCTGGTTTGCAAAAGAAAATGTCAAAGGTAAAAAGATAATGTTGCGGCAAACCACTAGAGTTCCCACCTTCACTCACACTAAAAGAAATAAGGATTGAGAAAGATTTTTGCATGGCACCATTAAGCATTCTCATTCTATAATTTGAAATAGCAAAAAGAGAAACATTTTAGAAAAAAATTCAGAAACCAAATTATAAACTTAATTTAAATAAAAGTAATTGATGCTTTAAAACTGAAAAAATACTAACATAACCTTCCTTTTTCTCTATCCTAATCTACTTAACCTTCACACCAAAGATAAGTCTGAGCTTGCTGGTCTGTTCGATTTGCATGCAAACTTCAATTAAAATTGCCATTGACATGCACGTATGTACATTAGATCAAAATGTTCTCTAAATTTCAAGAACACCATATTTTTTCAGACTCTAGATTAAGACTTAGTTCTACTAACTCAAGCACAAGCCTTGATACATTCTACCATTACCATTCTGCACACTAAATTAACGACTCAGTATAAAGTCCTGTTATTCTAGAATTTGTTCCATGGGAGATCAGGTGTACAGGTCCTGTAAGTTTAAGGGACAGTATTCAAAAGGTTACCCCCCAAAAATCCTTCAATTCACAAATAAAGTCCATGTTAGATTTTTTGTTCTGGTAAAAGTTTTACGGAGCTCACAACTGCTTAACACTTTGCAGTCACACAGCCAGCAGTACAAAATACCCCATCTGGTCACCCAGCCAGGAGAGCGGCTGCAACGGACTTCTCTGGCCTGGCGCAGTTCTGTGCCAGGTGACCGGAACAGATAATTTTCACCTGTGCATTATTGCGCCAAGTGACTGCAAAATGTTAAGGCCTTATGACCACAGAAGAAACAAAGAATAGATTTTAGTTGTTCTGGGAAAAGCATTCTTTGTCCATGGAACTTCCAAAATCCCAAACCTTGTCTGTTGCTGTTTTGGTAAATCTCCATGTGAATTATCAAAAAACTATAAAAGACTACAGAGAGTGCTTAAACATAATAGAGTGCTTGGGAATTGCAGGATATCAAATCGCTAAGAATTATTCTACCGTTGTAAAGTGAAGGGGATATTATGCATACAAAGAAAATACAATACCATGCTTATGTGTTTGTGTAAGTATTTTTCTATGACTTTTCATTAACATGAAGCTGTGAATAATCTAATTCTTTATGTCACAGAAGTTTGTGAGAGCACAGCCAGTATATTAAATAGCAGTATGAACAAATCAAACGTGAAGTATCATGATGAAATCAGGCGCTCGTCAAAACAATGAAAACAAAGAAGTCAGCATTTTTGGCCGATGGGTAATTAAAAAAAAAAATTTCTTTTTGTGGCTCAACACCTTTTTTTTATGTCCATTAAAAAACACATTTTTGTGTGGATTTTACTCAAAAACATTGATAAAAGGCACATGAACTGTAAATTTTCAGTTTCCAAGGACTCTATGGAAGTAACAAAACTTTGGCCGCCATTTTCTCCCTCAATCGCACATATTTCGACTTTTATTCATCATAGATGGATGTTTTTTTCCCCAAAAGGAAGGCAAATGAACAGGCTTTAAGATGATACCAATAACACCCCGTATGCCCGAAAATTGACGAGCGCCTGATTCCATCACGTTGCACCACAAATCTCATTTTACTATGGCAATCCAAGTAGTGTCACACAGGCTTTAAGAAATTGGCGTTATATTATGAAGAAGGATACAAATTGAAAAAAAAAAAGAAAAAAAGAAAATGCCTTACTGCTGACCAGACAACACAAAACACCAGTTCACACAGTACCTTGCTGAGCACGTGCGCCACTGTGTCCACCAGTTGTGTCTTCACATCCTCTGTCTTCTGACTGCCGTCGAAAGTGACGATGATGTGGACCGGGTTATGGGGCAGCAGGTGCTCAAACAGGATCTGGGAGGTGGGGGCAAAAGAAAAGTGGGGATTTGTTCCTTGTTTGTTTTTTGTTTTTCAAGAAAAATGGGGGATCTGTGAATTGTTTTTGTAATTAAAACGGGGATTTCTTGGGATTTGTTCCATGTTTTGTAGAAAAGCGGAGATTTGTTCCTTAATTTTTAAATTTTTTTTGGGGGGAAAGCTGGTGATTTTGTTCCTTGGTTATTTTAAGAAAAGTGGGAATTTGTTCCTTTATTACTTTTTTTTTTTTAAAGTGGGGATTCGTTCCTTATTTTTTACTTGTAGTAAAGTGGATTCCTAGTTTTTTTTAGAAAGTGAGGATCTGTTCATTGTTTTGTTTTTTTGAAATAGAAAAGTGGGGATTCGTTCCTTATTTTTTACTTGTAGTAAAGTGGATTCCTAGTTTTTTTTAGAAAGTGAGGATCTGTTCATTGTTTTGTTTTTTTGAAATAGAAAAGTGGGGATTTGTTCTTTTTATTTTAGAACATCAGGAGTTTGTTCCTTGTTTTTTTTTTTACTTTTAGAAATGATAACAATAATAATAACAGCAACGATAATAATAATAATAATAATAATAATAATAATAATAATAATAATGATAATAATAATAATAATAATAATAATAATAATAATGGGAACTTATATAGCGCTTTTTATTACACAGATACCTACATGACTGCGTTCTGCTTCTGTGAGGTTGATGGTCCAGTCTTTGGCTTGCAGGCCTTTAGTGTACTGGAATGGTTGTCGCGTCTCGTTCGACCTTGACACAAGGAACTTGGACAGGCTCTTCTGTGTGCCCAGGGGGACGATCATCAAGTACGACTGTTTGTGTGTCTGTAGTGCGATCTCTGTGAGAACATGATATTGAAAGCTTGTTTCAGCTTGTCTTTAGAGGGGTTAGAACTACCAAATTAATCATTTGCCAGCCGTTTAAAAGTATTAAGCCCAAAAAATTTTGAACTAAATTTTTTATTACAGTTTTTTAATCTGTGGAATTTGTTGCACCGGTACCAGAAATATTGTTGAAATTCAAATTCTAAATGTTGAAACAAAGCATGAGAAAATATACGATGTATGTACCATTCTTTAAACAAGACAGTCGCAGCAGTAGAACCCACAGGGAGAACGAGGCAGGGGTAGGCCACGGGAAACATGGAGATGTGTGGAAAGGGACATGAGAGAGATGAAGCTCACTTGGAACGAGCTAGGAAGGATGGCCCAGGACAGAGATAAATGATGATGACTGTTTAAAGAATGAAACAGTTTTTTTACTCTCTTCTGTAAAATTTTGCTCACTTCATTTTAACTGTTTACCAATGCAACATTATGGAGGTGAGGTTGGTTGGTGGATGGTCTGGTACTGTCTTCTCTAGTCTCGTCCTTCTACTTCTTTTCCTGTTTACAGTAATTTGTATCCATCCTGGTGCAGTAACATCTATGGTGTAGCAGTCATTCTTTTTGCCTTCGCACACAGAAGATCTTATTTAATTCCCGCGTCTGGAGGTTGTTTTTTTTTATTATTCAGTATCTTCATCTGTTTGCTGGTATATTGTATCCTTTTCCACCTACGTTGACCCTGACAGACAGGGTCAGAGCAGACTGCCTTCTATATGATCTAAATTGTGTCGATGTGGGTGTAAAACATCCATAATTACAAGCAGCCCTTGTCTGATGAACGTGGTTCCTACTGTCCCGACAAGTGAACTCTTAATCTACACCTCAACAACATTTTAAAAAAAGAGAGCCAACTAGGATCTCGATACCAGACTGAATAACCAGAAGCTGGTAAAGTATACTTGAGCCCGCCCCACCCCATTCTTAAAATAAGTTAAAAGTCTCTTTTGTGTATGATGTCTTGTATGGCTCCTTAGAGAGTGGAGGCCACAGTTGTGTATAGAGCGTTACGACAAGTAAGTTCCTAATGGAAGGCTCCAGTAAACTTTTATCCAGACACATAGTTTTCTCTTTCTTTCCTAACAAACATTTACTGTCCTTATCTCTCCTACTTTTTTCGTATGTTACACTTTTGTAAAACCTCTAATCTTCGGCTCTTATACGACCTGCTTGTGTTGCAAGTGCCGTAAAACTTTTACTGAAACTAAAATATTTAAATTTGTCACACCAGTGTTGTCAGTGGTGTATCGGTTAGGCACTTTGCTGTCTCATGCAGGAGACTCGAGTCCAATTCTTGAGTGGAGATAATTTTTACTGAGAATCTCAGTCTTTCTGCTGCGATGCTGTATCCCTTTCAGCCCGTATTGGCTCTGACAGGCAGGGTCGAATCCCGCCTCCTAAACGATCTAAATCGTATCGATGGGGACATAAAAACACCTAAACACCTATATCTATAAAAAAAAAAGTAAAAAAAAAAAAAGTAACCCAAATATTTGCCACCTGGCTACAAGGCACTCACTGTTTGGGTTGTACAGCAGTGGACAGCCTCGTGTGTTGGCCAGCTCCCTCACGTGCGACACGCAGGTAGCCATTGCCTGGATGGTGTTGATCTTTTTGCAGCCCGCTAGGATGCAGAGGCCTCCGTCAGTGACCTTGGAGCATCCGTTGATGTTGACCTAAGGCGACACAGAGAGACGAACTTTGTTGTTATCATGATGGGGGAAGTTTTCTCTACGCCAGTGACAATGACAATTAAAGATGAACACATAAATTGCATGCAGAAAAAACAAAAGTAGCAAAGATACAGGTACAAAAAATGTCTTTCGTTCCTCTTCTCTCTTTCTCTATTTTTCATTCCCTTTCTCTTTCTTTGTCAGTCTTTCTCTCTCTCTCTCTCTCTCTCTCCCTCTCTCTCTCTCTCTCTCTCTCTCTCTCTTTCTCTCTCTCTCTTTGCAGATTTGTATAAGTCAAATGAGATCCATAGCAGAAAAAAGTGAGGGAGTAAGAGTGATAATGAATGAATGAAAGAGAAAGAGAGAGAGAGACACAGAGAGAGAGACACAGAGAAAAAAAGAGAGAGAGAGAGAGAGAGAGAGAGAGAGAAGGAGAGAGAGACAGACAGACAGACAGAAAAACAGAAATAGAGAGATGAACAAAGAAGGGAACAACACCTAGAAAAAAAAGAGAGAGAGAGAAACCACCAATTTAGATATGAAAACACTAGTTTATCACCTCGACAGAACGTTTCAACGATGACCGTTCCAAAGCTTGGACCAGCCAGTGCAGACCGATGTCAGTGACAATACTACAGCCCTCCAGTGACACACGAGTGACATGATCTAGGGAACCCTGAAAGAGAAAGTGACATGATAAGACTAGATAGTGCTTTATTATCCCAGAGGGAAATTTTCCTTGGCTGTACAGGACCGTAAAAACACATGGAGGAATACATAAAATTTTAAAATTATATATTACTTTCATTAAAATTCAAGATGAAAAGAGAAGTAAAGCTGACAAAATGTACATTTACATCAAATGCATCATTCAATCACATGCAGGAATTTAAATACTAGACCTTTGGAGTTATATATAGATACATACTCAAAGAGCAACACACATCTATGCTCATTCTGACAAAAGCCTTGTGCTAGATGGCAAAACATTTCTTTTATATCTTTCTTTCTTTGTTTTTGGAGGTACATACCTGCCGCTGCGTGATCTTACAATTTGTGTGGAAAAGGGGTGTGATGGGTCGTTTATAATGCTTTTTATCTTTTTTATACATGTGGTGTTATTGATCTAGGGAACCCTGATCTAGGGAACCCTGAAAGAGAAAGTGACATGATCTAGGGAACCCTGAAAGAGAAAGTGACATGACCAGCGGTATTGCAATCACAGTCAAACCTATCCAAGATAACCACATGGATGGTTGGCGGGTGCTCTGGTGTGGTTTGCTCCTTTTCTCCTATCAAACATCTATCGTCCTTATCTCTCGTCCTTTTTTTGTGTATGTTACTCTCTAGTAACGCATTTACAAAATTCAAAAAGACAACCACCCATTGTCAGGCATGGAGAGTGGTCATCTTGGACAGGTAATCCTCTTGGACAGTGTCATTTTAATACAGAAAAAACAACTCCACATACGGGGATAACTTTTCGGTCCAGAAAAGGGGGAGAAGTGAGAAGCAGTCATTTGTACAGGTCATTATCTTGGACAGGTGGTCGTTAGAGTAGGTTCGACTGTATTTCTAAACAGTTAAGACCTATCCTATACAAATCTACCCCTGCAGCTGTGACTTCTTGCACATATCACACACAGTCTTGCACTTGACTGAATGGAAAAAGTCCATCCATAAGAAGCAGAATCATTAATGAAATCACCACAACCACCATCAACAGTAACAAGAGTAGCAACAAGCTACAGGACTTCACCTTTGAACACTAAGCACATATTTCGGCATAAAAGAAAGTCATGAGTTGTTTACTAGAACTACATATTTGTTTGAGTATTTTCTTTTGTTTTTGAACAAAGTATGGCAGAGAGTGGAGGAGCGGTTCAACGAGTGAGTGTTGATGAAAGGAAGATGAAGAGAAAAAAACGGTAGAAAGAGGGAATGACATGGTACTTTTGGGAGACCTTGTAACAACTGAGAAAAAAAACCCATTTGACTCTTTGAACATATATGCGACAACGATAACATTAGTAATTACTAGATTTCTACAGCATCCACTCCACAATTGGGCTTTAGGCGCCTTACATCAATAATTAAATTGAACATTAAAGCCACATTTGAGCTCATAAAATTGTTCATATTCATCTGTACACATACATGCAGTAACAGATACATGACAATCAAAAGGCACATTCATGACGATTAGAAAGTACATTCATAACACTTAAAACTTCACATTCATTATACTTAGAACTTACATCTGTGACACTTAGAACTTAGATTCATGATTCTTAGAAATAGACTCATGACACATAGAAGTTGCATTCACGATACTTAGCGCTTATATTCATGACAGTTAGAAGGTGCATTCATGATATTTAAAACTTATATTCACTGATAGTCAGAGGTTGCATTCATGATTCTTAACACTATGCCCCCTCGGGACGCCGATCAGCGGCGGTAAGAAGCCGTTCCTTTTTCCCACAGGACGTCAATTGGGCGACGGTGTGATATAGCGTGTACTGCACCTGTATCCTGGTCCGTGAGGAGAAGTGTTGTGTGCTTAGCGCGCTGCGCGGGGGAAAAGTGTTAAAGCTAACAATTAATATGACACTCAGAACTTACATCTGGCATACACTTAGCAAAAGTCCTGATCAAGGCATCTGTGATGTAGCCGTCATGTCCAAAGTCTATATTTGTCAGAGGAATTTTTTTCTTCTTCGACAGCTTTTTGGTTTCCTTCGAAAAAAGAAGAAAAGGTGAATGATGAAAAAATATATAGATATCAGGTGATCCTCTTGAACAAAGTCATTATAATAGAAAAAAAGAGCAAGGAGGGAGGGCGGGGAATGGGAAGTGGTTGTTTGTACTGGTAACTGTATTGAACCTTTATCCTTATACAGTTATCTGTGAAGAAAGACTGAGGACACAAAACTGTCTTATTCTATACTGTGAGGAAGCTAAATCCAAAACTGCCGGCACAATGTACTTCTGTATACGGCTGGTGAAATTATGGCTACAGGACTATATAATGACTGACACTGGTCAAAAATAAAGTAGAGATTATCATGGCACTGTGTAAATTCAGTAATAATTCATTTGAACAGGATAAAGAATCAATACCACAACCTACAGAATAGAAACTCACTTTTGTTACTTTGATTATTTTGACATGGTAGAGTAAACTTTTCTTTGAGCAGAACTTACCTCTATCTTCTTGGCAAAACTGTCAAGAGGGATGTACCCAAGAGAAAAGACCTCTTCAAGATTCGCCTCAACGGTGCCATCAAAGTTCTGTTCTCCATCTTTACCTTTACCCGGGGGTATGGGGGTTTCAGGAGACGGGGCATTGGCAACTGGATAAGACGGAACACAAAAAAAATTGTTGCCGTGTAATAAGACCAGCTATCCAACAAATTATTGTTAAAGCAAAAAACAACAACAACAAAACTAATGAAATTGATTATCCATTTCACACATGCTCAGTCAGAGACAGGTCTGATTTTCTACTAGAAATTCTCCTAAAATGCAAGAAATATAACCAACTGTCTACAAGGTTTTTACATGATGAGACCAAATATGTTTTTTATCTTCTGTTAAATTTACTTCGCAGGGGTTAGCCGGTCTTATCACGCAGGTGACAAAACATTTGACATGAGTAAAACGGTCATTGAGCCTGTACCATTCAAAACAATGGTGGTGAAAAGCTCTTCAAGTCACACACACACCCAAAAACAGACACTGAAGTGTGTTTTCACGTTTAAAAAATAATGCTACGCTTCCCAAGAATTTCAAAACGAGTTTTAAATATAAAATCATATATATCTATAAAATATAATAAATGTGATAAAAACACTGGACAGCCGATATTATACACCAGACAGTAAAATTCTAGTTTGAGATATATATGAGAGAAGGGAAATTCTTTAGACAAATAGGCTTTGAGTGTATGTGATCAAACAAGATTTGAACTTAAGTAAACAACATTAAGTGGGCCTGCTAAACTTCTGGGCTAAAAAAAATATAACTAGAATAAATAAATTTACTTTTCTATTCAGTATTTGCAGAATTTGTTTGATAAGCTAACATTTTTGTAGACAAATTAATTTTATTGAAATAATTATAATTAGTCAGTGTGGAACAGACAAAATATGGTTGATGATGATCTTACCCTCGGGAACCGCATCTTTCACTTCCACAAGAGAGATAGCTGAAAAGAAATGCACGAACTGATTAGGAACAAAAAGACATCTATTTTTTTCCAGTTCTTTCGTTCCCTTTCTTGTACTTTTGTAAGATGCAGGCAATGAGGAATTGTTATAAAGATGCGAGTATGCACATGATATATCAAGAGAAAAAGAGGGGTGCATGTGTGTGTTTGTGTAAATGGAAAGGATGGGGGCAAACTGAAGAAAGCAAACAGGGAGAAATTGACAAGCTAGTAGAAAGCAAAAAAAGAGAGGAGAGGGAGAGGGAGAGAGAGAGAAAGAGAAAGAGAGAGAGACAGTCAGAAAAGGGATTTCAAACAAAGGGAAAAACAAAATAGAAAAGAGTAGAGAAAAGGCAACTCAGAGAGAACAACATTAAGATGCGATTTCAATTGCCAACAATCTTACACAATATGTCAATTAATGGTGATATGTATTTTTACATTATTTTAAAAAAATAAAAGATCTTCCTACTACCTCCCCCAAGACATACACATACAGGCCCCATTACACACCCACACCAACACAGTTTACACACAAACACAATATAGATAACAAATGCCCAAATTCTCTCTCTATCAGAAACACACTGACAAATATACACTCACAAAGATACAAGTTCATTCCACTACATACCAACAAACACTGACAGTTGCATTTATTGTCCATAATATTCTCTCACTCTTACCCCTGTGTAATAACCTAGGAGCTCTATTTCAGGTGGCCAGGATAACCACAGACCATGGTCTGATCACATGATTTTGTGTGGCATCTAACACCCCTTGCCCACTAGGGGATCGAGAATCCGATCGTTCGACTCGCGGCCTGAAAACAAACATGTTATTTTTTAGGCTGCAAGTCGGGCGATCAGTTTGTGCCCCGATGGTTGCTTTGCGCCCTCAATCCGGCTACCAAACCGAACCAAACCCATCGTGCTAATGCACACCCCCCCCCTCCTCCATAACCACTGTTTTGGTTCTGATCTTTGCCTTCCACCATAAATGTTTTCAAAAAAATCCATGAAGTATTGCAACCTTCTAATAACCCTATAGGTCCATAGATTTTTATGGTACTTCATTATTATGAAATAGAGATACAATATGATATGTAATCTATACAACGTACTTTACGAATCATTACTATAAAATACTGAGTGTTAATTAAATTGAAAGCTGTTATATTATATACTGTATAAAACATTTTCCAACTCTTCTTGCTTTCAAAATCCAGCTATGCAGACTGCATAGGGGAAAAAAGATTGATGACTGAGAGCTGCATCATTGAAACCTCAGTCTGAAATTATAAGCCTTGTATCGCTTTGGTTAAATACTCAATGAGTTTCTTTCAGCTTCAAGAAATATAATAGACACCATCATTCCAACCCACAGGAAATCCAGTTTAGCCCAGGTTTATCTCAAGCAACAAAGGACAAGCTACTCTTTAGAGACGAGACTTAAAAACAAGGATTACAGATAGAAGAAAAGGGCACATACTGACAGATGAGAAGAGCCTATACTGACAGATCAATTGACATAATGTCGGCCTACAGATGCTGCTGGTTCTAAAATTGGGCATTCTTGAAATAGGTTTATTCGAGGAAGGGGGTTTCACAGTTTCCCATTCATTTGACCCTGTCTTTTGGAAGGTCCCCCGGACCCCCATATCAAATAACATTTCAGTTATTGTAAAAGTGTCAAATCAAGCAAGCATTTTTCAGATAAAAAGAACTTGAAAAAAAAAACCTAACAATTTTTTTCTGTCCATGACCAGCTATAATTCCTTTGCAAGCTACATCATTATTAGGTTAACCTGAATCAAAAACATATGTGTCACAACATGGTGAAATGAGGCGCTCTTGAAAATAGTAAAATCAAAAAAATTGTCATTTTTCTGACTGTTAGGCAATTTTTTTTCTTAATTTTCTTTCTTTGGCTCAAAACCTTTTATATCCACTTAAAAAATACATTTCTGAGTGGATTTTAGTGAAAAACATTAATCAAAGGCACAATAAAGGTCAATTTTCAGTCTCCAAGGACTCTCAAGACTTTAAAATTGGAGGATATTTTCTCGCTAATTTGACCTCTGAAACCAGGCAACCCTAACCTCCTTCAATTGCAAATATTTCAACTACTATTCAACATAGATGGATATTTTTTACACCAAGAGCAAGGCAAATGAACAAACTTTAAGATGATATGCCAATAACTGTACATGCCCAAACATTGACGAGAGCCTGATTCCACTGCGTCGTGATACATATTTTTAAAAAATAGGAGAATAAATTAAGTTGAAGCTCCATCAATAATCCTAATACTCACATCGTCGTCTGACTCTTCTTACAGGATCCGATTTGATTTTGCGTATATTTTCCATTGTAGGCCTACACTTCTGGTCCGTTCATCTAGTATTGACCTTCATCCAATAAAAACAAAAAAGAATTAATAGGACTAATGTAATAAAGTTTATAATAATACATAAAAGTAGTTATATCGCAATATGATAATGTTAAGGGCAATAAGAATTGCAAAAAATAATCACCAGATTAATAAAATTTCCAACACGTCTAACAACAATATAAAAACATATAACAATGCAAATTATTTAAAAATTGGTAGACTGATGATATAATCTTAATCTTAATAATAAACTAATATCAGTACAGTCTGTAGCAGTCTAAAAAAAATTAAGTTACTGAAGAAGAAGAAGGAA